GTCCCAGCTACTTGGAGGCTGAGGCAGGAGAATTGCTTGAACCTAGAAGGCGGAGGTTGCAGTGAGCCAAGATTGCGCCACTGCACTCCAGCCTGGCCCCTGGCAACAGAGTGAGACTCTGTCTCAAAAAAAAAAAAAAGAAGAAGGAAGGAAGGAAGGAAGGAAGGAAGGAAAAGGAAAAGGAAAAGGAAAAGGAAAAGGAAGGAAAGGAAAGGAAAGGAAAGGGAAAGGGAAAGGGAAAGGGAAAGGGAAAGGGAAAGGGAAAGGGAAAGGGAAAGGGAAAGGGAAAGGGAAAGGGAAAGGGAAAGGGAAAGGGAAGGGAAGGGAAGGGAAGGGAAAGGAAAGGAAAGGAAAGGAAAGGAAAGGAAAGGAAAGGAAAGGAAAGGAAAGGAAAGAAAAGAAAAGAAAAAGACATCCTATCCTATTAGGAGAAAATTTTTATTCTGGCCTCTTTGAGGACAGCCTCGCAGTGACAGCCTCTCTGAATTGCATGTTCACGTTTATGACTTCTTAAGGAGGAAGTTATTTTATTCCTCTAACCAGACTTTGCATATCTACTAGGTATTAAGTAGATCTCAGATTGAGCATAATATGAATTCTTTTTACAAAGAACAAGAATTTTATTTTATTGGACAGAGATCTTGGCATACATATCACATCACATAGAGCAATAAACAATATCTGAAATGTCTTTCTCTTTTGATTAGCTTCCAAAAGACAGAAAGCATCTTTGCTTCTATTGCTGTCATTCATTTATCATTGTCCTATTTTTACATGTAAAAATTAGAAATCTATGAACCAAAGATTGCGTTTATTTTGAATTTAAACAGAACGGGGCATCTGGTATGTGACACCATGGAGTGCTGGACACCAACACCTACCTACGAGTACTGAGAAGGGTAAAACATTTTGTCAGTGAGTTGATACAAATGCATTTTCTGGTTTCTTGTACTTACCAAATGTTGCCGCTATGGTTTCTTCGTCCTCTCCAAGTGTCATGTTGGAATTTGATCACAGTGTTGGACATGGGGTCCAATAGGAACAGTTTGTTTCATGGGAGAGGATTTCTCATGAATAGATTAATGTCATCCATTAAGGATGACTGAATTCTTGCTCTGTTATGTTCTCATGAAAGCTGGTAGTTGAAAACAGCCTGATATAACCCCCATTCCCACTTTCTCTCTTGCCATGTGATCTTTGAACATGGTGGCCCCTCTTTAGCTTCTGCCATGAGTAGAGATGACCTGAAGCCTTCACCAGATGCAGATGCCAATGTCATGCTTCTTGTACAGCCTGCAGATCCATGAACCAGATAAATCTCTCTTCTGTATAAATTACCCAACCTCAGGTATTTGTTTATGGCAACACCAAATAGACTATGGCAGCTCTTTATTCCTTTTTTTTACAACCATACTGTCCCCACACTAACTGAGTGCCACCCTATCTTTCCAATTGATTAGCAATGACCTAAATGAGAACAAGGTCATTAGGCTGCTTGGAGTAGATACCAGAAATCCACAGCTGAGTTCTAAATCTGCAAACCTCTAGGCTAACAGAGATACTCATAGACCCATATTTTTATGGAAGTTGTGTCAAAGGAATTAATCTGAAGGAAGCAGGAGAGTTCTACTGAAACCCTCACAGGAGTATGTTTCTTTTCTCTGGCAGAGCTTTTAGCTCTTTGCTGTGTTTTTTTTTTTTTTTTTTTCTGCGTTGATCTAATAAAATTTCCTTGCTCTTTCTAAGTCATTTAGAAAATATTGTTTATTTAGGCTGGGTGTGGTGGCTCACGCCTGTGATACCAGAACTTTGGGAGGCCAAGGTGGGTGGATCACGAGGTCAGGAGATCGAGCCCACCCTGGCCAACACAGTGAAACCCCATCTCTAGTAAAAATACAAAAATTAACTGGCCATGGGGGCACATACCTGTAGTCCCAGCTACTAGGGAGGCTGAGGCAGGAGAATGGCTTGAACCCAGGAGGCAGAGGTTGTATTGAGCTGAGATTGCACCACTTCACTCCAGCCTGGGTGATAGAGCAAGACTCTATCTGCAAAAAAAAAAAAAAAATAGGAAAATATTGCTTATTTAAATCTTCAAATCTGTCATGTCAGGGAGTGTTTTCATGATGTGTGAATATGAAGAAAAGTGTGACATTAATGTGTGTGTGGATGTGTGTGTGCCCTTGTGTGTGTGAGTGTGTCAGGGATGGAGAAGGGAAGTTTGGTCAATAAAAAGCACATTTTATTAAGAGTGAATAGCCTGTCCTGTGGTTATAGATAACAATATTTTACCATTCTTCAGCTTTGGGCCTCTTCTAGTCACAGCCCCTCCAACATTACAATGAAGGAATTGGAACAGAGAAAATCTATTATGGATTTTAATTCTGAAATTTTATAAGCCTAACATGTGGACACACAGTAGATTCTACTTTAAACTGTTTCACTCACTAACAATTTTCATGGCTGACCTTCTAGTAAGTTGACCCTTAAATAACTTAGGGTTGAACTGCATGTGTCCACATTTATACAGATTTTCTTCTGTTTCTGCCACCCCTAAAGCAGCAAGACCAGCCTCTCTTCTTCCTCCTTCACCTTAGCATACTCAACATGAAGATAACGAAAATGAAGGCATTTCTGATGATCCACTTCCACTTGATGACTAGGAAATATATTTTCTATTCCTGATTATATTTTAATAACATTTTCTTTGATCTAGCTTACTGCATTGTAAGAATCCACTATATAATAACATATAAAATTCAACTGTTTATGTTGTTGGTAAGGCTTCCAGTTAAGAGTAGGCTGTTAGTAGCTAAGTTTTGGGGGAGGGTCAAAAGTTATACAAGGATTCCAACTATTAGGAGTTGCTACCTCTATCTAACTCCTGCATTGTTCAAGGGTCAACTGTATTTTCCTGTAACATATGAATCATACGTCTCTAACATGATTCAGATTGTGGGACTTGAGTAAACTATGCTTGTTAGAAATACATTACTTGAGGATCCAAGATGGCTGATCACTAACAGCTTGGGATTGTAGCTCCCAGTGAAAGAGCAGAGAACGAGAGGCCTCCACAGTTTCAGATGAATTTTCGTCACTCACGGACCAGAAGATTCCCAGTGGAGGAGCCCTACGGGTCGCCAGTGCGACTCTTGTGGTCAGCGCAGTGGTTTTGCTGGCGCCTCGGCAAGGCAGCTCTTTGCGCAGAGTAAACGGGACTGGTTCCCCTTCTGACCAATGTTTGGAGCTCCGGGAAGGCAGAGCCGCTTATTACGGACTCAAGAAGGAAGCCAGACCAGAGATTCCCGGGCAGAAGAGCATCGTCAGTCTTATCGCTGCTGTTTTGGCCGGCGCAGTGGGTTGCTCGGATTCCAGCACTGGGAATCAATATACTGGATGTCCACTCAGAAACTTAATTAGAAAGGCAGTAATTTTAAAGACAACAGATGGATAAATTTATAACAAAGGGAAGAAACCAGCCTAAAAAGGCTGAGAATACCCAAAATAAGAACCCCTTTTCCTCTACAGGGGATTACAGTTCCTCATCAGCAACGGAACAAGCCCTGAGGGAGAAGGACTGTGTTCCATTATCAGAAGAAGGCTTCAGAAGGTGGATGATAAGAAACTTCTGCGAGTTAAAAGAACTTGTTCTAACCCAATGTAAAGAAACTAAGAACTTTGAAAAAAGGTTTGATGAAATGCTAACAAGAATAGACAATATAGAGAGGAATATAAATGAACTAATGGAGTTGAAAAACACAACATGAGAACTTAGTGAAATATGCACAAGTTTGAATAGCCGAATTGATCAAGCGGAAGAAAGGATATCAGAGGTCGAAGACCAACTTAATGAAATAAAACAAGAAGACAAGAATAGAGAAAAAAGGATAAAAAGGAATGAGCAAAGTCTCTAAGAAATATGGGATTATGTGAAAAGACCTAATTTACGTTTGATAGGTGTACCTGAATGCGACAGAGAGAATGAATCCAAGCTGGAAAATACTCTTCAGGATATTATTCAGAAAAACTTTCCCAATCTAGCAAAGCAGGACAATATTCAACACCTGTTAATACGGATAACACCACAAAAATATTCCTCAAGAAGAGCAACCCCAAGGCATATAATCATGAGATTCACCAGGGTTGAAATGAAGGAGAAAATACTAAGGGCAGCCAGAGAGAAAGGTCAGGTTACCCACAAAAGGAAGCCTATTAGACTTACAGCAGATCTCTCAGCAGAAACCCTACAAGCCAGAAGAGAGAGGGGGCCAATATTCAACATCCTTAAAGAACAGAACTTTCAGCCCAGAATTTCATATCCTGCCAAACTAAGCTTCACAATTGAAGGAAAAATAAAATCTTTTATGAACAAGCAAGTACTCAGAGATTTTATTACCACCAGGCCTGCTTTACAAGAGCTTCTGAAAGAAGTATTACACATAGAAAGAAACAACCAGTATTAGCCCTTCTAAAAATATACCAAAAAGTAAAGAGCATCAACATAAAGAAGAATTTACATCAACGAATGGATAAAATAGCCAGTTAACATCAAATGGCAATAACCCTAAATTTAAGTCGACTAAATCCCCCAATCAAAAGATACAGCCAAAACCCAACGGTATGCTACATCCAGACCCATTTCACATCCAAAGATATACAAAGACTCAAAACAAAGGGATGGAGAAAGATTTACCAACCAAATGGAGAGTAAAAATAAATAAATAAATAAAAAGCAGGAGTTGCAATTCTCGCATCTGATAAAATAGATTTCAAAGCAACAAAGATATAGTGGTAAAAGGATCAATGCAACAATAAGAGCTAACGATCCTAACACCCAGATACATAAGACCCATAAAGAGACTTAGACTCAACGAGACAGAAAATTATAAGGACATCCAGGACTTGAACTCAGATCCAGAACAAGTAAACTTAATAAACATTTATGTAGCTCTCCACTTTAAATACACAAAATATACATTCTCCACTTTAAATACACAAAATATTGATCTGCCATTATGAATACCCATTTTTAGAATAAAGCAACATTCCTGTTCTCTCTCCTTTTCTTCCTCTCCTTCACTCCTTTTTTTTTTCTTTCCTTCTCTCCTTTAAAAAAAAAAAAGAGAAATACATTACTCGTTGTTTACCACTTTCTCTGTCCTACCTTACGGTCATTTGTAAGCAATACTGATGTATTATTTGTGTATCAGTGAGAATACAAACTATATCTCTTTAATATTCATGCCTTTATAAACCTCCCTCTATTCCCATGTTTGCACTTAGCTGAGTAGAAAGAGTGAGTTCTGCAGGATGAAATTTCATCAACTGGTAGAATTTGAGCAGTGGTGTAGTCAGGAGAGAGATTTTTGAAATCAGAGAGATCTTTGCTTGAAATGTGCTCTGCCACTCATTGGTTGTGGGGCTTGAGAAGATTACCTATAGCATTCTTATTGAGATTTTATTAAATAATATAGGTATATAATTTATTTACCTAGATTTAGATTACCAGCATGGCCTGTGTAGAGAGCCGAACAGGCTAAAATTTATTGAACTAAATAGGAAGCAAAAAACCAACAAATAAAAAGCAACCCCCGCTTGCATTTGTCAGCAATGTATAAATTTTATTGGGCAAATTGGAAAGGTCTGATGCCAAATTAAGGCAACTGGAGCTTCCAATGGAGAAGAACTAGAAAGAAAAACATCATTAGGATAACTTCTGCTGTAGATTCAGTGAAAAGAAATGGCTCAAAGCTTTCTCGTTAAAAAAAAAATCTACAAAGGTTGCATTGTCTAAAACAAATAACTGGATCTTTTTGCAAATCGATTGTCTTTCTGAAAATTTTTACAAATGTTCTCCATTTTATCACTGTAGAAACCACAAGAGAAATTCCAAGGAAGGAAGCAAGGACAGGGTAGACACGCAAACGCTCTTAGATCTCACAGTAATACATCAAGTGCTATTTTAATACATCAGACCTATAGCCACATGAGAAAAAGAATTCTAAATGCAAAATAGCCATGTGAAATAACAATAAATAAAAGCTAGCAGGACTTTTAAGACAATACAGGATAAAATATCCTGTCCTGTTTATAGATTGCATACAGATACTGGGATTTTATGTGGAGCTGTATTAGGCTAAACAAAATTTTAAAAGCTGAAATAAAAGCAATGTTGCCTTATAAAGGGCTTACCCCTCTTTTAGTGAAAGATGTATGAAATGTTACTTAACATCTGGATTTCTCTCTTATTTAGACTTTCTGTTGTAAAATCTTCCTTTCAGAGTATGGGAAAGAGGAAAGCTCATGTAAGCAACTTTAAACCCTAGGGTTGTGTGATCTCTAATACATTTCAGTCTACTCAAGAATCCACCAGTTTTATGGGGTGGGGTATTGATCCAGGTATTTGTACTTTAGTTTCTTCATGATGTAATAGTGACATCATTTAAAGCCAGAGAAAATCACACAGGACCTCAGAGCCTCTATAATCTGCTCTAACAGTTCTAGCATCCTCAGGGTGCATAGGCTTCTTAGACTTCAGGTTGGAGATAAGGAAACCTTCTCTAGGAAATTGTAGGTCAAGGACATTTCTGGTAGCATAGTGCTCATTCTATATCTGTTTAATTTTCTGAAGCCTCATAAAAATTGTAAGTTTTGGGAGGACTCATACCTAGTACAGTATGCCTTGATATACTTTGGCTTCATTTCAGAAAATTCCATATAACAAAAGAAACCATGTGATAGCCATTCTCATTCTCCTTGGCAAATGATTTTGACCATCCACTGCAGTCTATCTGCTCAGATTTGCAAACACTGTATTATTGTAAGTTGAAAAATATGTTGCACATTATAGTAAATCTTATATTCACTATGTTTTTCCCAGTGCTGAAAATAATGCCTATCACAAAATAAGCACTTAGTAAATATCCTTTAATTCAGGTATACTTGATTTTTATTGTCTATCTTAATGTGGACTCTGAAAAAAATCATGCCACTTGGGATTAAGTCCTAGACCAGATATTGCCTTAGACGAGTGACATAACTTCACTAAGATTCTATTTCCTCACCAGTAAAATGGTGACAATAATTGTTGTCTTTCAAGACCTGTTGCATATAAGTAAGTTAAAGGACATAAGACAGTTCCACAGTACCTGAGAAACAACCAAGTCATCAGTAAGTGTTAACTCTTATTACTGTATGTTTTTAATTTTATATCTCCCATCCCATGTGTTATAGTTAATATCAGAAACAGATCAACATTTGCTTTTCTTGAAATAAGAGAAACATAAAGAGAAAAGATAAATATCACCTGAGAACATTAAAAATTCACAGAACTCTAGTTTTCCAATGAAAAGTGGTATTTCTGAAAATACATGAGACTAGGAGGAGCTGGGACAGTTAAATTTTTGAGTAGATACAAGCCAATAGTCCTACAGAGAAATAACCCTTACTCCAGTTCTTCTCTAACAAATAGTAATAAAAGGAGAATTTGAAAATATAAAAGTTGTACACTTAACTCCAAGATAACAAAGAGCCTACCAACATTCCCTCCAAGGAACAGTGATAATTATCCAAGACGTTATTTTACTAAGGAGCCTAAAAATAACCTTGAAATGTTTCTAACACATTCCTGAGAAACAGCAAGAAAGATAAAACCTATTTGCTATCTAGGTCTGGTCTTATTGCTCCATGTAGAGAATCTAGGGAATTTGATTGTTGCCTGTAATATTGTTCGCTCAAAATTAAGGAGAATATATGTTTAACAAGCTGAAATATATAGGACCATTTCTGAAGTGAATCAATGTTTGTGAAAATAATTCCAGACCTCTAATCTGATCTCAAGTTTTTATTCTCTTATCATTTCTGGTTATTTTTATGAGCATCAGCTGAACAGTTTAAAAATTCAACTCTCTGTTTCAAGGTCTTGATTTGAACATGTATGTCTAATGACTTTCTTCATTCTGTTTTTCATACTTAGATAATCAATCACAGTGACAAGCAAGAATTGTGTCATTACCCTGGAGTATTTTAAACAATCACTTAAGCAAAAGCATAAATAGCATTGTGTGCTACAATATGTGCATTTTCTTTTTAAAATCATTGTGAATCATCTGATTGTTCATATACTATAATTGTGTATTTTAAGAAAATCATTTACTTCCTGTTACTTGCATTTTCCCATTGATTTTGAAAGCTGGTAATGGAAATGATGAACTTGCTTTCTCTAAATTGAAATTATAGTGATGACACTTGTATGTGTGACTATTTTAGAAGAATGGCTAATTTGTGTTAGCTTACTTCTAAATTGACCAAGTGAAGACAAAGAACATTCTAGCAGCAGCTCAGGATTCATTCATTCAGTTGTCAATCATGTTTTCAAACTTTTCAGACCCATATTATTCCCCAATATTTATATTTACAGACTTGTGACTATGGCACTGCATTGAATGTGTGCTTTCTCTCTTATTTTATTTTTCATATTGACTTGTAGAGGGATAGTCAAATCAGAATGGCATTGCTGCTTTGTTTATAGCACTTTGAACTTACATATAAGATGTAAAAGAGTCTAAAATGTAAGTAATTTTCCACTTACCCTCAAAGTAATATCATTTTAACATAAATAGCTTAACATAATTGGTTCTTGTTTTAAGACCCTGGAGTGTTAAGTATGAAAAACCTCAAATCCAGGCTTCTATAGATATTTATTTGATGCTGTGTCATATGTGTCCATATTTTAAGAATCTACCTCATGTTCCTTTCCCTTGCATTTTTATGTAAATAAATTCTGTAATGTGTTTATGACTATTAAATGCCATGTGCTGGTCCCCTGTGCTATAATAAAGTACATCCGTGCCTTCCGAATTTCTCTGGCAACTGTCTCTGCATTCACTGTCTTCCAATCAGCATCTGCAAATGTAACCACTTAAATCTGATCCCCCTGTCTGAATCAGTTATTCAGATAAAAGGCAGCCAAGATCTAAGCCCTGCTCCATGTGGGACCCTCTTAATACTTCCCCCCAGAATGGACATGGTTTCTCTTACCAGGAGTGTCTGTTTTTTGTTTCTTCCACTCATTCTTTATCTACTCCCACGTCTCCTCCTGGATTCTTGCAGGGTCTATCTTAAGCAGGAACCAATTATGCAGAATTTAACCAAAGGCTTTCTGAAATTCAAATAGTCATAACATATGTACTGTCATTCTCAACACTGCTGGTACCACTTCAGATTGGAAATGATGTAAAATAAGCAGATATGTTTTCTAAAACTAAATTTATCATTTCAGTTTTAATCTCTGGTCAAAAAAATGCTATTTAAATTCATATGTTTTCAATCTTTATATATATATAAATACACATATATATGCTTTATAATGCTTAAGATAATTCAGCTGATTTCTAGAAAATTTATTTGATTGATTTATTTTCTTTGAATCACCATTGAACCAACAGACTATTCTGTTTTGTCTACTTCCTGTCAAAGTGAAATCATCATAGCCATATACAAATAATTTTTTTTAAATGTTAATGCTCTGATACTGGTTTATATGGTTACAGAAATTACCAGAATTTACTTGTGGCTACTCAGAAAAAAGCCAGACATTTGAGTTGATATACGTTCTTTGAAGCTACATTTTATTCAACTCATTCTACTGAACCTCATTATTCTAGTGTACATGAAAGTAAAGACAGTGTTCATTTCATTCTTAAATGAGTTAGTAAGACTTTATTTGGTCTCATTACAATGGCTAGATTTTCTTAGCTTGAGTTTGATTCAGGGACAAGAGTGGCAAGTAAGCTTGTTCTGTTATTATGTATTTAACAGATTTCTCACCTAACGACAAGGAGCTGTTAGTGAGTACATTTTATGTGCATTATGAAATTTATATACAATATCATATTTATTTTTATCTTCACAGTCTTTTCAAGTTGATGTCAACAGCTTCATTTTCTTTTTCAGATGCAAAAATTGAAATTTAGAAAGTCTTAGTAACCTGCATAACATTTCACACACCAAAATATGAAAGCTTGAATTCAAATACCGGAACCATCTGAATCTAAATGATATTCTTAACCACTCAATCTGTGCTGCTCCAGAAAACAGGTACACATACAAGAGTCAAAAAGAAAAGGTAGCCTCACAAGAAAATCTCAGTCATGAACCCCAAATTCAGAAACCTGCTCTAAATTAAAGAGAAAGTTAAAGGAGACCTTGAGATTTCTTCTGGATTGACCACCATATTTTACAGGGAAAGGAAAGGACAGGAAATAGTAAACTGAGATAGAAACTTGATCTTAGGATTTATCATTGCTTTTTAGCTAGAGAAGATGTTGGCAACTTTTTCTTAAGCCATATAGTACATATTTTAACGCTTGTGGATCATGATATAGTCTCTTTTGGAACTACTCAGTTGTGCTGTTTTAGGTGAAAGCAGTCATAAACAAGAGGAAAGAAATGGATGTGGCCAGATTTAACCCACAGTGGCTCCCAGTAGCTAAGTTGGCTTACCCTTTGGGTACAGCATACAATATAATGCATTTATAGGACTCCTGGTTTCTGTAATCAGAATACAGGGGCAGGTGCAGGAGAAAAGTCATGATTATAGGCTTACTGCTTACTTTATGTTATAGTCTCCCAATTAGTACTTATTAACATGTTGTATCAAGAATAAGGGCTTCTTATGGGATCTGTGTTACAATCATCAGAGGTCAGACCATGACAACTAAGTCTCTGGTGAGGAAGATAAGTATCAGTTACTAGATGGCAAATGTAGAGTTTCTCAGGTACTAATAGTATAACATTTAGTGTGAGTGCTGGGTAATGACAAGTTCTGGAAGAAATTAGTCACACAGTTGCAAGGCTCATTATTAGATTTTTGGAAGGAAGGAGAACATAAATGTAAAGTTCAGGTAAAGAATTCACATGGAGATGTAGAACTGTTAGTGGAAATATTAGAAATTATATTGTGAAATGGTGTTTGACAGTAGGGTTTTTAAATGGTCAACATGTAGCCAGTGGAGAAACAACAATAAAAGTTGAAATAAGATGTGGGACCTGAAAACAGCAAGTTAAGATGACAACTGTTTTTTAATGAAAAAAATGTGATGTAAAATACATAGATATTTTGAGTAATTCACTTTGAATGAGGCACTTTAAGAAAAAATGCATATATTTAGTCTTTTCCACCTTTAAATGTAGGCCAAGTATAAAGTAATTGGAGATAGGAAGGTAGGGGAGATAGGATAACGATTGCAAACAAATTTACACATGAAAGAATGTTAATGGGATAAAATTATTACTCAATGGCAGTCTCTTGATGCTTCACCAAACCTTATCCTGACTTTCTCCATTTCTATGGCCTCCTTCTCTTTTTCAGCCAATCAGATCTCTGTATCAAATAAGTGCTGGTCAAATGAATGTGAACGTGTTGTAGGCTTCTCATTAAACCTAATTAGTTTCCATCAAAGTTAAGAATCCTGCCCAGGTATTTTCAGTATTATTTGGACCCATAAAGCAGAAAGGGGGCCATATCCCTAATGTCTTTCTGGTTTGCCATTAATATAAACAAAATATTCAGAACCATTATTTTTAGTGGAGGTTTAGATGTTTGAGTATATACAGATGTTTCCATTTCACCTAGAGAAAACAATAGATCTGCTATATAATACTAAAGATAGAACTTAATTGAGCCATCAGATGATGATGAAGAAACAATGCAACATTTCAGATGATTAAACTGCATGCTTTGTACTCAGCCTTTTCCCCTCAGCACCCTGTGGATTTCTTCCACAGCCTTTCCCGTCTTTGAAGTCAGTGGGAACTCTGATCCTAGAAAAGTCACCCAGAGTACAGAAGTGCACAAGGACAAGTCTATCTGACTGTGTGTCCTCACAAGGATCATGGAGTCGTTAAATGAGTAAGCAGGAGGAAAAAAGAAATCCTAACCTTAGTGAAATGCAAAACAAGCACTTTTCTTTCTTCTTCTTTTTATTTTGAAGTTTGATGTCTTTTCTTTACTTTTTTTTCCCCACAATACCTTTGCCCTTCCTGTTTCCAACAGTGATTAGAAGTACTTAAAACTCTTCAGAAAGTATGTTCTGTTGATATTTCTAATAGGGACTGGAGCAAAAACTATGACTTATGAACCTCTACCCCTTTGATGCGCTATCACTACAGCTCAGAGTGAGAAGTGTGAAAGTCTCAAGTTACATTAGTTCTCAAGGGATTGCCAAGACCAAGCAGTCATTGACGTAATTTCAAAAGATGAATAACGAAGCAAACTCTCTTAGTATGCAGTAGCACTAATAATTAGTAGAGGTCATTACCCATGCTTTTCTTAAGACAGAAATATTTAATGTCTTCCTTTAATCATGTATGATTTTCAACAAGTATCATTTATTAAAACATTTTTAATCTTTAAATAAGAAAGATATTTTATAAATCTTTATCCTATGGCCCATCACTACATTTTAATAAGCTGTTAGTATTTATTAAACATACAATTACTGCCATATTAAAATAAAAGTTAATGCCAATTAGAGATTCTTAATTTAATATACTACTATTTGGCTAGTTAATATCAACCTCTCCCATGTGTTCCAATAGATGAGTAAGAAATTTAATTACTGAATATTAAAATTTTCAGGACAGTTTACTTTTATTGTACTATAGGATTTACTTTCTCTTTTAATCTTCGACTTTCCTAAACCTATATCAATTCACTTGGCAATTTTTCAATGCCATAAGCACAGGACATTTTCCTTCATTATGCAGTCAAGGAAAACACCTGGTGCACAGTGAACTGATAGGTGGATTTGATTGAGTCCAACTAAATTTATTTTAATTTAATAGATGTTATTTGAACATTGTTTACATGTAAGAAACTATCCCAGACATTTTGGGGATAGAGAAAGAGACCTAAAAGGAACCAATCAACTTTTCTGGTTTGCTCAGACCTCATGGATACATGGGCATAGAACTGTGAGTGCTAAAACAGAAAATTCCAGCCAAACCTGGATGGATTTTTTCCCTGAAAACCTATGCTGAGGACACTTAACTCAAGGAGAAAAAGACAATATAGTAATGAAGAATATATGTCATAATATTAACTTTTACTGAATGGCCCAGAAATACAAATAGGTATACATTACTTCTGGGTAAGCAGTCAGGGTAGATCCTCCTACAGCCATTTTTGTTAATATTGATAATAATAATCATGATTTTGACTTTTTGTTTTAATGCAAAACCATTTATAGTATGATAATTACGGTACTCTGCTAAGAATTCTGAAATGCTGTGTAGCTGAAAAAGTTGCACTGAGTTTTCTTTATCTGTATTTTCTTGGTGCAGAAAATTATAAACATTAAGAGAACTTGAGTTACATCTTTCCTGCCTAGTGCTATATGTTGTTTAGAGAATTTCCTTATTTAATTCTTCTGGTGATTCTGCAGGTTATACATGAATTAATCCACCTAACAACAATGCCACAAGAGACGTCCAATTTTTATTTTCATTTTACCCATAGGGATGCTGAGGCTTAGGAAAATTATGTAATTTTTCCAAGATCAAACGTGTAAATCATAGCCAGGATTTTAACTTGAGCAGTCTAGCTTTAAAGCCCAAGTTCTTAACCATAATATTACTGCCTTCATGAAGCAGTGCTTGACGTTGGCATTACCATAATTATTACCGATTTAATTAGAACTTCACCATCAATAGGATTATCTCGCCCCATATCTAGAACTAGCACAGCAAATTTGTTACAGGTTTGAGCTAGCTTTCCTGATTTTTAGCTTTACTCTCTTTCTGTTGTCCCACAGTATCAATTTTTTTTTAAAGTTTATTCTTTCTTACACCAAGCATAATATGAAGCCACATAACAGCATGTTATTTATCCATTCACCGGATCATAGACAAAGTAGTTTTGGGGAATAAAAGGACTTTTGAAAAATATCACTTTTTGGCATTGATAATGTAGCAAGGGGGAGAAATGTTTGTTTTGATTCATTTTATTTTAGATTTATAATTTTCTGAAACCTGTAGTATATAGACATAAGCTTCATCTAAACAAAGAAAAATAAATAAATAAAGTGTTGTCATGCCAGTTGAAGAAGGTGAGCAAGATTTAGGCCTCCAATTGCTTGTTGTCCCTGTTTCTATTACCCAGAAGATAGAATGACATAGAGTTCTGAACAGCATGGCTTAGGAACCATCCTATAAATTCTAGGAACATAACATCTACAGTACCATCTCAGTGAAATAATGGAGAAAAAGCTCACAGATGAGACAGGATTTGATTTAGTGATTAAAGCATAGCAGTCTTTCATTAATTCCATATAGGACAGTCATTTCATTGTGTGTGGATGGCCAGCAATCAAAGCCATTGAACAGAATCAGGACATGTGCATTAAGTAATCATGACAGAGATAAAAGTGTGTGAGATTATAGACAACTGACACGTGACATCATTCCTTATGGATTTCATGTGTCTCTGTGCATGATAATTTTTCAAGCATCTTAATCTTTAAACAACTAGGAGCTGGAATTATGAAGGGAGTCAGGTTGAATACAGTTGCTTGGAAAAAGTTACCCTGGCTTAATGGACCACTTTGCACCCTGCATAACAAACGCCATTGTCTGTCTTTCACAATTTTCATGCCACCTCTAAAAACAAAGTGACTGAGATATTTCAGAATGAATTGACAAGTGGATGATAATTCCAGCCTTAATTTCATTTGATTGAAAAGTTATGGTGTTCATTATTGAAAGTAAGTATGGGCCATATAGTTAACAGTAGATAAGCATTCAGTCCCACTTGAGGAGTGAAGTGGGAGAGAGGGACTACTGTCTGGTTGCTTATATTACAATCATTACTCCTCAAGTATGCCAGGAGAGTAGCAGTTCTAGGATACTGTAAATGATTGAATAATTGTCTATCATTTTTAATAAGGTAAATAAGGAAGATATTTGGGACTGATTTTATTAAGCAGCCATGTACCCCACATGGCCTGATAGTATAATTTGACAACCAAATTTGAAAGTCATTTTGTTTGCTAAATAATGTGACCCCCTCTGTAGGCAAACAACTCCTACACACTCTTAGCTACCACAGAGGCAAAAGTACCCATTTGTGAGAACCACATCAACACAACCATTGGGGGTTTTCTTGAGAATGAAACATTTGTGGCCAGTTGACATAGCAGAAGGTTGGGTTGAGCAAACTGTATCAAGAGTGAAGTGTTTGCTGACAGTTTGACAAAAGGACATGCTGCTTTTGCTTTACCAGGGGAGAGGTTAGGCTTTACAGCACCACTCCCAATGAGACCTTGGGGTATTGCACAGCTATCCATTCACAGATTTCACAGTGATGAATGAGGTCTTAGCAGATGCCTAGCAGAGAGGGTTAGAGAGGAATAGATTCCTCATATGTCTGCCCTTTTCCCCTCAGATTGGGCAAGGCAGATGATTAGAGAAAGTAGAGTCTGAGTAGTTTAATAAAACCCATCTGCTTTAGCTTTTAATAGAAAAGTCTTTCAGAAGCTCTTGAAAATCAAAAGCAACTTAATTGTAAAAAATCATGTAAATATATATGTTATATACATACCATATATTTGACACATACACACTCACACATAGCAAAATATTTATATTTTCCAAGAATAAAGTTTCATTGTTGTTTTGCCTGCAATCCCACTTGAATGGATATATAGGCTTTTATCTATATCCAACATGAACTTTTGACTACATATTTATGACATCAATGGATCGTTGTGTTAAATGAACATAGAGGAAACTAAAACAATGCAGATCTAAATCACTTTAACCTGTTAAGTTTGTTAAACAGTATGGGGAATTTTATAACAAAAGAATATTTACTGAAAATACCTGATGAACTGAATGTCTCCTAATGAATACTTCTTTCCCACAATGCCTCCGTTACCCGCTCTCATACAAGATCTCACTCTGGCAGCTAAAATCTAAATAAGGAAAGGGAGAAGTTATTACTTCAACCTATTCACTTCAAAAATTGTGGATGATATTAGAAAACTATTTTATTCTGTAGATACTTGTTTGGAGACTTTTACTCCATCAGCTATATTTTATGTTTGAATGATGCTTACATCAAAATTAAGTTAAAATATTTCCACATGTGTTGAGCATTTTGTATATTAAAAAAAACAGGTAAATATGTATGTATCATTCATACATCTATGCATATATCTGCTCAGGAAAGAATAAAACATGGAGAGAAACACTGGTAAAACAAAGTGAAAACATTATTTTTGTTGAGTACTTTCATACTGAAACTTTAGCGTGCTCAATACTTTATGACATTCCTTCAATAGTTAACGACAATGCACCTTTGCTTCCAGACAACCAAAACTTATGAAGAGAGTGAGGAAAGGCTGGTATATTTTAAATAAACTGAAACTTGGGAGACTAACTTCTAAATCAATTTTCATTTTATTAAATTTATTTTTATTGAATATATTCTTTATGTAATAAAAGCATTTTATGAAAAATATCTAGTTCCATAAAAATCAGGGCAAACATTTTCAAATATTTATAAAGAACAACTATTAGCCTAGCTTAGAAGTTATTTAATTTATAGCAAAATAATTATTTTAAACTATTTAAATGGCATGCTTTTTCTTCTTCTTAAGGAAACACCTCCTAGCTTCAGTTTTAGAATATCCACTATCATTTACTTTAATGAATTTGATATAGCTTGTTGGTGGTGTTTTTTTTTAAAAAAAAGAAAAACATAAACTGAAAACTCCCATGATTATAAAACCTTGAGGAGCCTTAGTTTATAACCATAGCTCTCAAACTTTAGAACACACCTGAATCACCTGAAAGGCTTTATGAAGCAGACTCCTGGGTTCTGTCCTCACAGTTTCTGACATGCCTTTTTGAGAGATGTTTCCATGTGATGCTGATAGTGCAGCCTGGGGATACTTATGAGAACCACAGGTTTATACTATCAACTTAGTCCTCCAGAGCAAATCCGTGGCCACTAGTGAAAACAAAAATGTGAAATGATGAGGCAAGTCAATCATAAAGAAAGGAGAATGTGCTTTCTTCTCTTTAAAAAATGGTGGTATGTTTTTTTCTTCTTCGGACTTGTCTAGAAACCAAAGAAGAACCAGAAAATTGAAAGAGGAAGCATGAATAGGCAATTGAACTCTATTATAGCAGTTTGAACTTTGCTGCAAAAGAATGTTCTAAATCTTCCTCGGCCTTCTGAAGTCTTAAGGCATTATTTTATTCTTTTTCTGTAGCTTACTAAGGTGCTGCTTTATGGTATTTTATATTGTTATTTTATCCTTTTCAATTGTGTGTATTTTTTGTACCATGACTCCATAACAGAATAAGCTTTATTATCACAATATGCATTATTGTAGTGACATTACTTTTTGCAAAAACCCTTTCTTTCTTCATGCAAACATTATTTGTCTAGAGTTATTGAGATATCCCAAGCTCTCTAAACTGTTTATATTACAAATTTACATAGACCTTAAGGGTTGTGACTTTTCCTGTTTAATCATATCTGGTGTAATGGTTACTGCTGAGCTTAAAATGAGGAAACTGAGGCCAGTATAAGAACAATCAAATGCCAATTTATTTATCTCCCGGGCGAGGTTCTGTGGTCCTAAGGAAAAGGGGCCAGAGAAGTGGTGCTTGACTTCTCAGGGCAGGGGGTTTTATGGGGGTTAGAGGGGGGCTGGCCTAGGATGCATGGGGTGGGCTGCCATTGGGTAAGGCTTGGCAGGATTTCTTCAATTCTCATGGGTTCAGATGTATAATTTAGTGCTGAGAGTGCACAGTTTAGTGCTGAGGTTCAAATGCATTGCTTGGTGCTGAGAGTGTATAGTCTAGTGCTGAATATAGACCTTGGGGCAGAATGCAGAACTGGGTGAGGGCAGCCCACATGGAGAAGCCAGATGCTGAGTAATGTGTTCTGCCTGATAAACTGTTATCAGGCATAGAGGGGGGTGGGTGTTTTTCATACGGCTCTTAGCAAGGCAATTGGCCTTACATCTGGGATCTCCAGGAACTGCCCACAGTTGCTTTGACTCTGTGGGCTTAGGCATTCTTGCTGCTTTATGACCTAGAACAGCAACCAAAGGCAGCATGCATGGGTAACAAGAACTTGCTTTCATACCTCATCCACAAACCAATTTAAATGTGTTTCTCTAAGTGAGAGCAAGAGCTGCCTGTTTTTTTGTGTGTTTACTCTCTAACTGCACCTGAACTCAGGCTCCATCCCAACAATAGAGTAATTTTCTGGAACCCTGAACTCCTAACCCAGTTCTCACAACGTGTTAACAATCATGAGGAAAGTAAACACAAGAAAATAGGAATTCTCATCAATGTCATGCCATCATTTTCATATAATCCTTTCATTAAAAAATTATCATCTCTTCCATGTTCTCGTTGGCAGCAAGTTGATTTAGAAATGCTAGCTAGTGGCTAATATGTAGCTTTGGAAATGTCCCTAAACTTCTTACGAACTTAGCTTCCTTCAATGGATTAATCTGAATACAATCCGAAATGTTTTCACTTTCAACTGGAGGAGCTCTCAAATGGGAAGGGTCTGTGGTGCCAAGTAAAAGCAGTTGTTAACAATCACAGTCTGAGTTTAACAACTCATTTGGTTTGAGGTCAAAGTTTTTGTTCTTGTTTAGCACTGAGTATAAGCTCACTAGATGCAAATCGCAAAATAGAAGCAATGTATAAAAAGAACAAGTCCCAGCCTATGAAAAACTTCAGTTACTTTTACTTTACACAATATCTCATTGGCTGCCTTTAAAATATTTCCTAAGCTGGTTGGGGATATCATGGAAGAAGCTAAGCTCATCCTGGCCTTTGCACATTTTGCTCCTGACAAGAAAACAAAATAATGTTTTTTGTTTTTGCATCAGAAAATTTATTTTCAGCAAGTATGTCCTTAAACTTCCTCCAAAATATACATTTTAAAAAAAATGCTGGCAAATGGTCGTTTCAGAATACGTGTTATATTGTGGAAGCTCTCTTCTGTTTTCCCCTCACTGTCTCTTGTTTTGGTCTTTTGAAGTGAGTCGAGGCTCAGCAGCCACAGTCACTTAATGGAAGTGAACGGCATTTTGAGAGACCCAAAATTTTCATCATTGAATCTATTTAGAGAGGCTGCACAGAGCCATTCTTCCTCTAATCTCCTACTGATTTTCAATGCAAATACTGCCAGCATTGCTCATGGCCACAGGATTTAGTTATGCACTTGACTGAAAACCATGTCAATGCAAATTCAGAGGATAACCAGCATGCAAATCCCTAAGGCTTCAGCAAGTTACAATTCAGCCACAGTATTAGCAAAACAAGATAGCAATTATGCAAGGAATCAGCTGAAAGGTTATTTTTAATTTAAAGTTTTTGCATCTTTACAGCTGGGAGAAATGAAACCCTGCCTATTCTTTCTTGTAAAACCCACTCGGTAGAAACCAAAAGACATATGGTAGATTATGACAGCCATGTTCTAGTATGAGTCACACAGACACACGCACACACACATATGTACACTCACACAAACTGCTGCAAGAAGGCTAGAGGGACTTCTGATGAGGTTAAATTGTTATATTTTCTTCCAGTGTTTATTACTGATTTGTATCCATTAAAATCTTCACATTTGAAAGTATCAGTCCTGAGCAATTTGCCCTCATTTCCAAACTCTTATCTCTGGTCTCACCATTCCTCCTTCTTCTTGCTTCTGGGTGCTGTTGCTGAGGTATCTTTTGCTATGATGGGTAAAGGAAGTGACTTTGCCTTTCATCACAGTCCAAGGATCTACATTGTGCTCAGAGAATTCCAACTTGAATTTATGACTGATGGAGCTATTTAATTTATTTAACGTCTAGAACAATTAAAGCCATCCTGTAATGTACTATCTCTAAAAAGGTAATAACCATCTGTTCATGATACCTTGCATTTCTCCTGAGTCAGGGCAGACAAAGCAAGTTTCTTTTGCAGTATTTTCGTGAGTCAAGAAGAGCAGGCACAATTCTGAAAAACAGGGCAATTGTGTGATCACTTTTAAGAATGACTGTTGTTGACAATAACAAACAGCACAATTGAGAACTCAGGGCAAGCCTGAGTCTCACCGTTGGGCTTAGAATCCAGGGTTTCCTCCTAACCTGTTGGGTGAACTGGATAAGTCACTAAGCTTCCCAGCTTTCCAATGTTTTCCCGTAAATGTCAACCCCTTCCTTCTCAAACTGTGGCCTGTGGTCCAGCAGCATCGACATTACTCAGGAGTTTGTTGGAGAACTGTAGAATCTTACCCCAGCCCACCCCCAAACCACTGAATCAAAACCTGCCTCTTAACAAAGTCATCAGGTGATTTGAATGACTGTTAAAATTTGACAATCACTGATATGTAATACAACAGGTCTTCTCTAAGTGGTAATTTTATTCATTTATTGACTGTCTACTATTTCCAGGATGCCCTGTGGACATAACAGAAAACAGAAACTAACATATACCATTGGTCTTGTGGTAGGAGAAACAGACTTGAATCTCACAAATAAAAGTCTAATTGAAGGTTGACAAGAGTGCCCTGAAGATCTTGAATGAGGCCTTATGATCATGAGAAAATTGACCTGGACAGGGGTGTGAATGAAGCTGTGTTATTAAAGTGTGTCCAGAGCTGTATTCAGGAAGACACTTGTCATTTCTCCTTACCCAGAGCATTTCAGTTTTAACAACTTAAGTGTTAACCAATCTTATACTTATTAATATACGTTAGTTTCTTTTAGGATTATACGTTATTTTTCTCTTCTTTGACATTGAATCCTGGACTTCTAAACAACTGTGCGTCCTGCATTAACTCAGCAGACATAAATCCCTCACTTTCCTCCTTGGTAAGTGTTCTCTCCAAATGGGTATTTAGCCTGGTAGGGGACAGGTAGCTTGCTACTAGTTCAGACAACAACTGGAGCATCCACTGCTACTTATGGTGTTTTGAAAGGTCAAGCTCCCTCTCTGGACACGTTATATCACAGTAATTACTTTCCCTTGGTCTCTCCTCCTGTAAGTACTATTCTCTACTGAGTCTTAACCTGACCACCCAAGCCTGCTGGTTCCTGAGTTACCATATTAAGAGTAATAGAACATGGCCGGGCGCGGTGGCTCATGCCTGTAATCCCAGCACTTTGGAATCACAAGGTCAAGAGATCAAGACCATCCTGGTCAACATGGTGAAACCCCGTCTCTACTAAAAATACAAAAAATTAGCTGGACATGGTGGTGCATGCCTGTAATCCCAGCTACTCAGGAGGCTGAGGCAGGAGAATTGCCTGAACTCAGGAGGTGGAGGTTGCGGTGAGCCAAGATCGCGCCATTGTATTCCAGCCTGGGTAACAAGAGCAAACCTCTGTCTCAAAAAAAAGAGTAATAGAACAGTCACACTACCTAGTAACAAATCAAGACCCAGAGTGACCAGACTCTTTCCAGAATCAAAAATACAGAAGACGTCCTAAACCCAATTCTATCCACCAGCTGCTGATACTTGGGTGTGGAAGTAATCAGTATTAGACCAAGGACAAGCGCGCTTCCGAATTCTAATTGCCATGGCATAGAATAGGCGTTCTGGAAATATTTTATCATTATTAACCCATATTTATAAAAATCCCTTTTCACTGATGCTTATTCATCTTGTTCAGCAAAGTTACTTTGAAATGTAAATCTGACCCTATTACTCTCCCCTGCTTAAAATATGTTGTTGATTCCTCATAAAGCCACGTTCACAAAGTTCTAAACATCCCAATTTTCTACACGTTCTTTTATTTCCTATGGCCTTTTCACTTAGTATTCTACTCCCCTACCATCTCAAAGACAGAGATTTTCAAACATGCCTTATTCTCTCTGGCATCTGAGCTTTTTGTCATTCTCATTATTTGATTAGAAATCTCTTAATTATTTCATTCTCCTGGAAAAATCTCCTTTCTCATTCTGTAGTTACTCATATTTCCTTAATGAGGGCTGTCCTGTCTCCCTGTATAGAACTAGGCAACTCAAAATTCTCTAAATGACTTCTATTATCTATTTTGCTGCATCGTATTTTTATTACACAGATATTTCTGGGATTTTGCACCCATTTTCATATGATATTGTGATGTCAAAAGAAGAGACCCTTCCTTCTGAATCATGTATTCCCAGAGTCTTATACAGTATCTGAAGCATGGCATACCCTCGGGGAAAATGTGTTTAGAACAAAGTCAGGCAGGAAAAATTGTGTACGTTTTCATAAATGAATGAATGCGTGCACGGAGGTTATAGGCTATTTCCATCCATAATTGAAAGCAGAACAAAATTAAAAGCCATATCCTTGCACATTGCTTGTTTTGTAATCAATGTTAAAATATTTGTAAAATCAACAAAGACAATATGCAGAGGGATACACAAGGTCAGCTCTACCTTTTCTTTCCCGAGTACTGAAATTGTACCATTTGCTTACGATAACCCCTCAAGTGTACATAGAAAAGGTTGAAGCATTTCAAATCAAATGTCATGTCAGGAAATTTATTTTTTATTAGTAGGATAATTTTCATGTTTCTCAAAGCAATTTGTAAATATTACCTAATCAAATCTACTAGGGCAGACAGGCTGAAAATATTACACTTATGCTCCAGATGACAGAGGCCAAGAGAAGAGTGTATGTGAGCATGTGTGCGAGCAAATGTATGTGTATGTATGTGTGTGTGTGCGTGTGTGTTAGGTAAAAATCAGCCTCACTATGCTAGAGTCTCCCCAGTCTGTCTCAGCTCATTGCTTGTCAGTAAAGATCACCACAGACAAGATGATCGGGCTATAATGTGAACCAATTATTTAAATTATGCTCCTACTAGCTTTTCACACACTGTGTTCATTCTGTGCAATGCTAGAGACTAGTCAACAGAGAAATTTCTCTCTGTCTTCCACTAAATCTTTGTGTCGATCTCTCTCTTTTCAATGATGGTTTTCTACAGTACTTTCTGCCTCTAGAATGGGGAAAAACTAAAAAGTATAAAGCATGTACTGTGCTCTCAGAGAATTCACCATTTGACGGGCTGCCAAAACTTGTTTTGGTCATTGCTCCTTTTTGCATGACAATACATAGTCTAAACTGCACAGGGGAAATACAAGTGTCAATATGGTCTATTCTATTTGAGGAAGCACCTTCTCTATGTTCTTAAATCCTTCAATAGTAGGACTGCATCTTAGTTTATCTGATTTCTTTTTTTCTTAATTAATGAGAGGTTCTTATGCTGCTCAGGTTGGCCTCGAACGCATAGCCTTGCCTCCTCAAGCACCAAGACAACTGGCCTGAGCCACTGCTGCTCCCTCTAATTTCTTATTACCCTTCGGTGAACTTTAATATGCTGTTGGTCTCATTTTCCCTCACAGTTCTCATTTCTGTGTTAACTCATTTTCTTTCTTCTACTTAAATTGCCTGCACTGTCTACCTTCTCCGTATACTCAAGATCCACCCATGTTTAATATCCATATTCACCTCCCCCCAGAATAAATCTGTTTCCTGATTATTCTGTTCTATTCCTGAAGGTTAAGCAAACATTACAAAAGTTAGCAAATAATTACATATTGATTATATTGTAATTGTACTCTCTTTGTTCCAGGTATGCCCATCTTGTTTGTATGCCCAACTTGTATGACCTAAGTTTTGACTTTTACAAATATTATATCTTAAATTAATTTATATCCTCTGAAGACAGAACAATAACAGAGATTCAACAAAAAATGCCTTGCTTCAGAGTCATGGTTAAAGTATTCACACATTTATTATTCTGCTGCTTACACCAAACACTCACTGCTCCTTATCTCTCTTCATGCATTTCTCTACGCCTGGAGTTCCATTCTCCCACTATTAAACTTGGAAATTCTTAGTCCTCCTTTAAAACTCAGGGCAAGAAGTATTTTTTCTTGGTAATATCCAGAATTGATTTGTTTTACTTTCATGCTTCTATGATACTTTACACAGTATTCTATTTTAACTGTAATTACATTTCCTTATTTTGAAGTTTATAAAATTGTCAAATTCAATACCATCTATAGTAGACTAAAAAGTAGTCCCCAGTATCCATCTCCTAAGCCAAGTGGGTAAGGGAGTATGTCATTGCAGATTTGATTAAAGATCTTGAGTTGAGAGTATTATCCAGGTGAGCTCTAAATGCAATCACATGTATTGTTAATACAAGGAAGGCAGAGGGAGATTTGATACAGACACAGAGAAAAAGGTGACATGTAGATAGATCAAAGATTCAAAAATACTGTCTCCTTTGAAGATTGGAGTGATGAAGCTATAAGCCATGGAATGACAGCAGCCACCAGAATCTGAAAGAGGAAGAAAATCATTATTTTCAAAGTCTCCAGAGAGAATATAGCCTGACAACTTGATTTCAGCCAGTGATACTAACCTCAGACTTCTGGTCTCCAGAAGTAGGAGAGAATAAATTTCTGTTGTTGAAATCCCCATAATTTGTCATACTGTGTTACAGTGGCCATAGAAAATGAACTCACCATGTCTCATTTATTCAATATTCATTTATTTGAGATAGGGTCTTACTATGTTGTCCAGGCTGGAGTTTATTTAGTGTGCAATCACAGCTCACAACAGTTTGGAACTCCTCTGGCTGATCCTCCTGCCTCAGCCTCCTGAGTAACTAGGACTACATGTGTGCACCACCATGCTTGGCTCAATCTATATCGTATTGTTTGCTGTATCTCCTGCCGTTAGCATTATACCTTCCATATAGCAATACATTTAAGAAATGCTTTCTGAGCCCCTACTATGTGCAAGGTGATATGCTAGTTGCTTGGCGATTTCATTGTAATAAGCATTTTAAAGGCTACATTTGGTATTATAATTTTTATTGCATATATATATATATATATATATATATATATATATGAACTTAAGCTTTTCCTGAAAGTTCAAATTTGAATATCCCAAATGTCTAGTTGACTTCTGTACTTGTATTTTAAAACAATGCCTCACACTTAAATGA